CTGCTCTTCTAAAGCTCAGTGCCTATATGCCAAGAGTTGCTAACCTAGCTGCCCTTGGGATATCAAACACAACCCTACAACGATCTCTGTTGAATGGCCTCTACTTATGTCTTAAATTCATTCTCACTTGTGATTTAACATTACTGAAGTAAAGCCTCCTTTGTCAACTTTTCTTCAGTGTGTCCAGTTTTACTATTTAAATTTTGATAATGGCTTCTCTAGAATGTTTTCATTGTGCAGTTTTACCAGGTTACATGTGAGCGCCTGAAATCCTGCATCTTAGCTGCATTAGATCTTTTTTACTCTTTCAACTATAAATTGTTGCGCAGCTGAGCTTTCCTCTCTGGATGTGAAGACCGATATTGCAGCCTACTGGTATAGGTACATTTTTATGTCTTGCTTTATATTCACTTATGTTGGCCTTGTGTCCTCTCAACTCAGAATTTCCACCAGACTTCTAGATGCTATGGAACTTCTCAGACACAGTATTACTCCACTGGGTCTCAACTGCCTGGGGAGTTTTTAGCAGTGTATAAAGCAACAGCATCTTTGTCTTTTCATTCCACTACATTTCTGTAATTTTGAATTTGTTCTTTCTCACTCCAGGGGCAAACCTTGTTTGTTTTGGGGCTCCCCCCCAAAAACCACATTACACTTATTCAAAGACATGCATGAGATCTCTTCATTTAACATCTTTATCTAGCACCATGACGGTTTTACTTTGTGTTCTTATGTTCTCTCACAGGGATAATTTGTATCCCGTTCTTTACTGGAAATGGAGATATCTATTGTACACATCTTCAAAAGATGCCACTGTTCAAGTTCGTGTATTTCTCAGCTCTTAACAGTTTTTTCCCAGACCTTAGTTAAAAAAAAAAAAAGTATTCACTGTGTATGCTAACATTCCCACTTCATTTTTGGAGAAGGGACACCAGACCCTGTGTGTAGACACTCCACTTTCCCAAAAGAACCCACAGTGACTAATGAACTTAAATCTGCTTTTCAGACATGCTGAAATCCCAAATTCTCTTTTTCCAGGTTGGATCTCCAAACTGGAAGAGTATTTCTGAGAAAACTACTGTTAAGTCACTGTACATAAACTTTCTATTTGAAAGCTCCCAGGATCTTTTAGCTCCATCTCCCTGCATTCTTAGTCAAAGGAAACAAATCCTCGAAGCTCAATTTCCAGTTGACTATTGTTTCTATGAATGCAATTGGCAGCTTTTTCTTTTTTTTTTTTTTTTTTTTTTTTTTTTTTAAATTCATTACAGACATTAATTCCAAAACTTCAGGAAGCGTTCCAGGCTCTGCCACCTGGAACACTACTGATTCTTCAAAGTAAAATCTGAAAGGAGAGACAAATGAAAAATATCTAATTGGCAGAACAAAATGCTGCTCACCTGCAGAAGCTACAGTAAACTCCAAACAGAATTTCTCATAGGATCTCCTTGTCAATAAGTAACAGGAACAAAACAGATTTGACAGCAAAGTGATGCCTACCATCTCCATTACACACACATCTCTGACAACTCCAGGACCCCAATTACCTTTTCCTACTACCTCCTATCCAGTTACTTTAGATGAAGAATCTCTCAGGCACTCCTTCCCGCTGCCTGCACAGCCAGCAACAGCTCTACACTTTGCTCTGATGGTCAAAATGTAAACTCAGCAAGAGACACTAATCAGAGTGCACAACCCTCCAACCGGTACCAACATGTAATACCATTTACAAGTCATCCATCGAAACGGTGAGTAAGTATTCAATTAAGAAAGAAAATAAGGTCTGTACAATTGTGCTCTCCCTCTCATACACATATCTAATTCTATCAGTGTCAGTAGACTTAGCTATTTCATTGCTCTTTTACTAAATTTTTGCTGCAGTTCAGATTACACAGTGCCAAACAAAGCATGGATAGGAGAAAATACGATCCGCAGTTCTCTTGACATCATTTACATCACCTGGACAGAACATAATGCTTCATCAATGCAAAACCCAATCCTCTCAATGAATCAAAATCCACACCCAGGACTGGCTTCCAGAAAGGAACAACAAGCCGTCTGAAAACTGCACTGAATCCTCATATTATTTGGAAATGGGAGCAAGGCAAGATTTTTCCTTTGTTTCTAACTGTCTTAGTACCGTTATGGCATAGAAAAAAAAAGACACACATGAATTCTATGGCAACAGACCACTGAAAATGCAAATGTATTTTATATACTATTTTAAATTCATCCTCAACTATAAGTAACGATCAAAGCAAAATACCAATTAATTAAGAATTGTATTTATGGACCACTCACAAGTCTATTAGTCACCTGAATGACCCTGATAATCCATAGCTTTTTAAATATGGCTTTACTAACACAGAAAGGCATGTCTATGTAATATGCATCATAATAGATTATGTATACTGTGTAGATTTGCTGAAGTCCTTACAGTTCAAGTGAGATAGGTCAGTTTCTCAGCTGTTCCTAACCATATTACCAGCTGCACACACCATTTGTGGCCATTTCACATCCATGGTCCACTTGTAGCCATTGCTTTTCTTCCTCCTCCTTTGAAAAGAAACAGAACTGAAATTCTCTGGGTGCTAACACTGAGTGTATTAGAAACAGCAGAAACGGAGACATATCTGCAGCTGAAGCTGCAACAAAGATGAATGAAGGGAAACTATTCATTAAAAGGCTAGAAGAAAAAAATCATTATTTTAAACATTACTATGTACAACATGCTGTTTATCAAGAGATAAAGAGATTAGACAGATTTCAACTCTGTACTGAGCCCTGTAACATGTGACGAGCATCACCTGTAGGCATTGTTAAAAGGCACCATCCATAGGATAGGCTAGATATTCTGAAATGAAGAACATTCTGTGCCTTGCAGTCACTAGTTCCAGGCAGAATGCACCATACTAGGAAATTCAGAAACACACATAACCCCTGAGTGTATTTTACCTCTATAAAAAGCTCAGTTCTTTCAAATTAAGTGGCTTTTCAGAATTAAAGTCGTTATAAATCCCATATGGAAGACCATTTTTATTAGAACATCTTAAGAGCAAGATGTTATTTTGGCAGCAGCAGTGAAGACAAAGGGCACAGGCAAGCCTCGGAAAAACTGCCTCAGCTAAGACTGTCCAACGCTTCCTACTGTAACACCATCTCTTCAGTTCTTATAACTTTACCAAGCTATAATTGTTCAGACTAAAATTTTCCACGCTGGACTTTTGCCAATTTTGAGAGACATTTTTCAGGTTTTTTTTAGCCTCTTCCAAGAAAGAGGCTAAGGAAAAATACACTGCTTTTTACAGATTAATGAATTCCACTGACCCTTCCAACAGCTTGAGAGCACTAACAATTCAGAATGGGTGGGTCACTGAGTACATCTTTTTGCCAACCCTGGGAAAACCCTCCTGAACTCGGCCAAGTTCAAGTGTTTGTACACACTGCTAATTGATGTATGCAGAAGAGATTTAGATTTTAGCAACTCATTGATCACCCTATCCAAACACTATGCAGGAGACAGGGAAGCCATGCACAGGGGACATAAATGACTGAAAGTGAAAGATGCACAAATGAAGAGCCAACATGAAAGCAGAATCAGTAAGTGCCACCTGGGCACAGAAACTGGGATAAAGGGTAGGAAAGATTAAAGGTTGGCTGGTAAAGCGAAGGGGTGGAAAAGCAACAACGGGAGTTTCATCTAGGAGAAAATGCAGGGGGGCAACAAGCCAAGTCTGCACATTCCCCTCAAGAACTGGAACGAAACCCCAAATTGCTGTCTAGCAGACAAATGGTGAGATTCAGTATCTGCAGAACCATAAGTAATACATCCTATTTCCCTGTGGACCACAGAGAAGATAACTACATACTACGCTGCTAAAATAATACTCTTAATACAAACTACAGAGGTCTGTTGGATTGGAAGTTATCCATCCTGATAAAGAACAACATCTGTTTTTTTCCAACACATTTTTCAAAAAAACCCTAAGAATTTACAAGTAATAAAACAAAGTTAAAGAAAAATTAAAGACCACAAAACCAAGTGCTGAAAGTCTTTGCAATTTTAATGAGGCTTTTCTGTGCATGCATTTTATGAGTTTTTGAAGACACAATCACATACTACAATTTCCATGAAATCCCTGTTTTCTTCCCAGCAAACAGCACTCTGAAAGTAAATTAGTGCAGCACATGAAAAGGAAACGCATTCTGCAGAATGCAGAAGCTGTGCAATGGACGACGCAGGAGCTGAAGAACAAGAAAGATGATGCGGCTAAACAGTGTACTTGAAAACTGGTTTTATCCCTGCTACTGATAAAATCCTTTGGGGATGCCAGGAAATCTGGGTAACTGTCTTAAGACCACAGGATACTGCCAACCTGCAGAAATACTCTGCAGAAGAACTAGGGATATGTTTGGAATATGAAAGGCTATTAGAGATGGTAATGTGAGAAAAAGAATTGACTAGGTTAGTGTCTCCAAATGAGTGCCAAAAATGGGTGGTTACAGCTGCCTTCTATGACTCAGCTCATCCAAGTAGAAAATACCATTATCTTCTCAGTCTGTTGTGAAATGAGATTATTTTGTAAAGAACTAAATGGAAAAATGTCATTCTTTGAATGTAACTGTCCACATCTTAAAATTAACTTGATACAGTTTCTGGTCGTCCTCTTTTAATGTCTTTGCCTATACCTAAGGAGTTCCAGCAGAGCAAACAACTGACAAAGCCTGCATAAACTAGAGGCAGTTGGGGGAATACCAGGAACCCAGTGGTTCAGATTACACAGTTGTCGCTCTTGTACCTTTTCTAAACACAGATTTTTTATCCCTTGAAGTTGCATCATGACCCAAGTGCATCTGACAGTCTTCTGCCATCTCTCTGCTGTCTTACTCCTTCACAGTCAGAGGAAAAACACCCTCACCCCGAAACCAACGAGAGAAGAACAAGTCTGTAATATTTAGGAGACAAAACCACATAGGACTAATATTCAGTTAGCCCTCACCTCATTTGGTGGAACAATAGCAAAAGGCTGGATGACAGCTGCCAGTGGAATGCGAGCCTGTTTGGCCATATCTGAAGATGATGGGAAGCAGTAGGTAGTACATCGGATATAGCGAGGGCTGGCGTGGCCTAGAACACCCAACACAGGCAGAATGAAAGGCTGTTAAAAAGAACCCACCTATCCCAAACACAAACCAGAAAAATCAAAACAACAACATAAAGCAACAAGTGCATGTGCCAAGTTAAATACATGCTTTTTTCCCCTCCCATACAAGCTTCTGCCCATCTCTCCTCTTTATATGTCAGCCCATTGCCCCTCTGTGGGTAAATCTTTTCTTGCTGCTTGAGTTTAAAGCAGAGATTTAAACATATCTTTTAAAATTTCAGAAGAATCCAAAAAGGATTTTCAACTTGAAATTTAAAACCTTGAAAATTTTTAAGTTAAAAAGAAAAGTTGTCACAACTATTCATATTATTTTAAAGGTCAGGAAGGGTAGAGGAGGTGTTAACCCAAGGTGTAAGAATTCAACTCCCATTCTCCCCACCCACCCCCTTTTTTTTTTTCTTAAAGGGGAGTTTCCCGTTTCATGTCCAATTTAGAGTGAGAAGCATCATTTACAGATGAGAAATTTGAGAATCTAGTCTTTCCTCTTTTTTTTTAAAATTATATTTGATTTCATCTAGAAAGACTCCCAAATCAGTAACAAGGACAGTTACCGTGGTCTTGGATTATGCAGTCTGTGGTGACAAGAGGAGGAACCTGTCCTCTTGTGTTTGTAGCATAGATCTGTCCTCCTCTAGAAGCCTTATCATTTTCAATTACTTGAATCTGACGAATAAGAAGCAAGAACAGTATGAGAAAGGTAAGCCATGCATTCAGTTACATTCATAAACAGTTATGCTAACATCTACACCAAGTAACACTACTGACATTGTCTTATACAGAGGTGCTATAAACCTATCACAATACAGGCTTCTGGCACACTTAACAACTAGAAAACTATACACATAGCTGAGCAGTGTGACTCATTTACAGCTGCAGTTGCCTGTTGGAACTCAGGGGTAACACTACATGTTGGGGTGGATAAGACCTATATACAGTGAAGTATATTCAGTGATACACTGAATAAATGAGTTTTTTAGAGTAAGTATATTGACTGCTAGGAGGACAGACCTTTTCAAGAGAGCCTAGCCAGCAAATTGAGGAGAGTGATGGTGTAAATAAGCCCTTGTTACTGAATCTGGCCTTCCATTCTCCCAGATGAAACTGAAGTGCAAGGTTGCATCACCTCACTCAGATGCCATATATACCAGGTTATCTTTTGTATGACCATAGTTGTGCCAGCTGCTGTTCTTCACAAATGAATGTACAGGTAATTGATCAGATTGCAACAGTGGGAGGGGTTAGCCCTCATTTCTCCTGACTAGGCTCCATACACAGGGTGGTTAAGAAATAAACAATAATCTACATAGTAGATCACCTTCCTAGCTGAGCTATATTTCAGCACTGCCGTTTAGAAAGCAGCAATTTAAACTCCTGAGAAAAGACTTGTTGGCCGTTAAGTAGGATTTCAACACTGGAGCTCAGGGTTTTCATTCTCTAGGTCAGACTACCATGTTGTGAGCCTCCTCCTAGAAAGAAAGTAAAGGAGAGCAATCACAGAAAACTTTTATTAAAATGAGGCAGCTCTGATCATGTACAGATCTACTCTGGTTGAAGCCTAGTTTACAGCAATTTGCAATGTAATGTCATGAAACGCTCATGAAGCTGGCTTTACTACTGAACAAATTCCTTTCCCATTCACTTCCACCCCTGTCACTTCTGCACAGTCCCTCACCCCTGTTTAAGTTTGATACTTTTCAGGATATAACTGAAGTTACATAAAGCTGTGTTTTGTTTCACATGATAAACCAGATTACTGAGATGATACCATTATTCCTCCTTTTCCCTCAAAGAAGCTATCTTTTCAGCAATCTGGTTTAGAGTGTAGCTGAACAGCTGTGAGAGGCAAGAGGAATGAGACAGGGAATTTCTGAAACTGGCTTTGCCAGTGTTGCTGGTATCCCATGGAATTGCATCTTTACACTGCACATGAATTTCTAATAACAGCTAGGGAAGTTCAGAAGCCTCTGTTGGAAAGCAAACAGAGAAGAAAAACAAAATTAGCCTCACAGAGTCTATTGATCATTGTCCAAGAGGTATTTCCTAACACACTGGAAATAATCTGGGGCCTGTAACTTTTTTTTTCAATAAAGTTTTTGTATTGCAATTTAAATATACAATACATTCCTCAGACAGCTTGTTATATCTTCTGCTTGATTACTTTTCCCTGCCTCCTTGGCTTGTATACTTATTGCTAACTCTTGCATTAGAAGGAAAAAGGCTTTGCTCTAAAATGGTCCACTGGCTGAAGAAAGCAAACCACTTTCAGACTTAGCTCTGCAAAGGATCAATGTACCATGGTATTCTGCAGTTAATTGACCTAAATATATCATTGTTCTTGGAAATAATTGTTGACAAAGCCCAGATGCTAGTTTTCATAAATGTTGTCAGAGCACGAATCAACCCCTAACATACGTAAGAATAACGTAAATCAACAATGGCTACAGATAAGAAGTAAATTTATCTGGCAACACTACTGTAATTATATAATGTAAATATAACAAGAGAAATACACATGGTCATACTTATTCCTCATTCTGAATTAGCTTTTTGCCCTTTACAGACGTTGACCCAGATCATGTTTCTTTTAAACATGTCATTTTGATCCTCTCTGTGCTGCTTAAACAAACCTTTTAACCTATTTTAACATCGCTGTCATAGTCAAGGCTGTTTATTCTACATGTGTAATTGAAACAAGACATCAGTCCATGCTTTCATGCCAGACCTCCTTCTCCCCTCTCCCCCCTGCTTTTTTTTTTTTTTTTTAATTAGACAAGACCATTTTATCCTCCCTATGTAAAAAGCACAATACTGAAACATAGGAATGATTGACCTATTAAGGGCATTTGTAAATTATACAGATATTCACTTTAGGGGTGTTTTTTTTTTTTACACAATGGTTTTCAGTTACATTTAACTTGAAAATTGCCTTTAACAGAGGCAATTCCAGTTGTTCATTAACCTCTAAGTGATTATCAACAAGCATTTTTCCAAAATTCTGGGGATTTTACATCAAAACCATCACTAGATAAAACAAATAATCTTTTCTAGAAGGACAAAAGAACATCCCAATTTAAGGAAGCAGGGCTGCTCCCTACTAGACAGTATCAGGCTTTTACCTCATCTCAGTGGAACACAAATTCTTTCCACAAATACAGCAATACTGCCTCAGCAGAGAAGTGGAAGATTCCTCCACCCAGACTAGCTTACAATGTGGTGGTTAATACATTTTTTTAAATAGGAAGTTCTAGGTCAAAGCTGCAGGACACAGCCTGCTTCAAGAATCCCGACTCTCTGAGGACCTTTAGACCCATCCGCACAATTGCCAGAACCAGTATAAGTGTGTGCATCAGAATGTGTTTTCCCCATAAGTTCAGCACATTTTCTCCCTCTATTTCAATCAGCTGTTCTCAATAAAGAAGTTAAATGCAGCCTCCATGTGACTAGCTATTCCTTTGGGTAACAATTAGACTATTTTATTTAAGAAAGATGGACACAACCATAACCTTGTTTTCTCTTTGTCTAACACCATGCTAAGAAGAAGAGACACTGTCCCACCAGTGCATGTTTGGGCATGCTTCAACAGCTGAGCCTCTTCAATCTGTATGAAGCTTAAGCATTAAGTATATTGCAAGCTACTGAAATCCTTACAAGGCTGCAGCAACTGGAAGGATGGTCAGGCAAATAATTCTAGTTGCCTGAAAAGCTCCTGAAATCAAATTGTGATTGGCCTTTGAGCATGGGACTTCTCAGTATTTCCAGGATTGCAGTTTTAGAGTTCACATACCTGTATTCTACACAAATCCTGCTTTAGGTGTCTACCTGTTACTAAGCTTAAGCCTTCGAACTTTCTGGAGTGAAAAGAAAAGGTGATCAGCTGCAGTGAATGCAAGTAATCCTTCAGTACTGCTCACTGTCATACTAAGAATCCTGTTGAGAATTCCTATTAAAGTATCCAGAGTCATAGGTATGTCCCGTGTTAGATAAAGTTATAAAGCCTCTTCGGTACTAAAACTAACGTTATGCACTAGTTTATCCAAAACTGACAGCACAGAGTACAAAATTGCATGTAATTAAGGAACTGCAAAAATTGGAACGTATCTTGTGAACCAAGCCATGTAAGTGCAATTTTATGTTACAAAAAAACCCACCAACTAAAATAAATAGAATATTAGCATTGTCATTCCTTTACCTTAAATGCAGCAGAAATTTACTTTTATAAAAAATCAGTGCCACATTACTTACTGGGCTTGGAATAGAGTCAGGATCAAGCTTCTTCTGCTGTAGACTTGAGAGCTGTGCCGGACCCCCAGGAAAAGCACCAGGATAAGACAGTTGAGATCCTGCCATCTGAGGACCATAGTTTGCTGCAGAGTTATAAATGACAATTCATTTAAAGTATTTAAGTTGTGTTATCAATTTTTAACATCAACTTCTGCCATACAATTCATTCTTACTCAGCTAAATGCAACTTCTCCTTCCCTTCTATTTTCAGCAAGTAAAGAAATGGATTACTTTGGCTCATGTAGTCTGTGTTTGAAAGGTAAACGTAAGACTGGGCGTGACAACTTTGGCTCCAAAGTTTTCAGGTGTATGTCAAGTAGGACGGTTAGTAGAGATTATCACAGCTACTCAAACCAGGCCATTACATTAGTGAGAATCTCTCCCCTAACACCAGTCCATGCAAACTGGTCTAGTTAGCTGGCTTTTTAGTTGTCAAAATAACTGTTTTACTTACCTATGTCAGGTGAAATAATTGTATTCAGTTATAATTTTTTATTGCTGTAGCAAAGCATTTTTGAAAGCTGCTTATGACAGACAGTACTGTAAGACAGAGAGCAACTTAAGCCTTTACAGAGTATAAGAAAAACTCCTTTCTGTAGTATGTTGCGCCTTTACCCATTACTAACCAAATAATTCTGTTCCTGATCCAAATTAATCTCCTTTTTCTAGTTACAGTCTCAACAGACTTTTGAGCAAAAGCATAGCCTGTCTTGAATGTACCTATTGAGAATGCAAATCTTTCTATTCCACAAAAAGAGGATTAAATGTTCATTTTTCCAAGTCAGCAGAACACCAACCGTGAATGGTTGCAGTTCCACCAGTGATTCTCCATGTATGTTTTGTTTTCAATTACATAACAAACATCCTTCCTTACCTTGCTGAGGATGATATCCAGGCCCTGGAGGCTGTCCTGAAAGCTGTTGCAAGTTAGGATTTGGTGGGACAGGACCCGGGATTCCATCTTGTCTGGCCGTAGGAGGCAATGATGGTTGAGCACAAAGGCCATTAACATTATTTGCTGGTGGAGGAACCTGTGATCCAGGTGGTAAAGCGATTGGCTGCTGGGTTGGTGGTGGTAGTTGTGGACCCTGAAAAGATGCCGGATGCCCAGAAGACATGCGAGAGCTCGGAGTAGCGCCAGGACCTGAGCAAGAAACGATGTCAGCTGAGTCAAAAATGATAACCTACTAACTCTTTGTGGAAGGTGTTCTATCTTTGCTCAAAACATTTACGACATACAGGCAATATTGTATCCCATACTGACAATGCTGCGTTATGGGGATTCTGAATGCCTATTCACATAACAAATCTGACCTCGTAGTTTAAGTCTGAACTGATTCAGACATTCAATTTTATTTCTTTTGGCTCCATTTTCAACAAAGCCCTGCAGCTGGGGTGGGTGGGGAAAGAGAGAGGGAAGCCAGCCTTTGACAATTCTTGATTAGAATACACATAAATCGCTATTTGCTTTTGAAATAATATTTAATTTCATAATGTGAAACAACATTCTTTTTACTTAGTAATTGATTTCTCTTATGTGGACTGTTTTTGTTAGTCTGTTATTTGCATTTCACCATGACAGGTTCGATGGAAGATAAATCCACTGATTTTATCTAGTTTACAACCATCTTCTGGTTTTGATGCTAAAAGAGTAAACATGTGGGAATTATTTTGTACACACTGGTGATGAACAGTTTGTTGTTTATAAGATCCAGACTCCTATTAGAATTAAGAGGACCCCGGAAATAGGGGGTTTTTTTGAGACTTACAATCTGTAAATACTTATTACTTTCCAAAACCTACATTTTTTTTTTAGTCAAATTTCTCCCCAAAGACCTACGGCAAAATAATTTTCAAGAAAGCTAAAAAATAAGGTTTGGAGCAAAAGGACCAGTGTATTAATATACAAATATTAAAATGTATCTTCTGTCAGACATGTTAACTGAAAAAAAAATTTCACATGCAAAACACAAGCTCAGGTTCTCAGCTGGTACAAACAAACATCACTCCAGTAGCTTTACAAGCTGTGAATTTCAGCACTCTGTCAAGTTACATCAACTTAGACTTACAGCTAAGGAAAAATCCGAAGAACAAAACCCAACACAGAGGCAGAGTTGTAAAGAATCCATGTCTTCAATGGTTTGAAGGGTATCTCAACCTTCCAGCAAGAACATTATATTACGTAATTATTGCTGAAAGCAATATAACGAAGGCAGGAAGCAAAAAAAAATTTCTGCTCCAAATAATATGAGTTCCTATATATGAAGTGCTCTAGACGTGCTGGGCCACACCTCGTCCTGTATAAAAAGGTCTGAGTTAATTGTGCACTTGCAGTTCAGTACGTCAAGGTTGAATTAGAGTCTAAATTAATTTTTCTAAGGTGAAGTTGTAAGTTTTCACAAGCAATTGTACAAACAGAGGGTCAGACCTACCGTAGTTACGCAGGTTTCATTCAAGTCAAATCAGCAACTCATGAAGTCAGGGTAGGAACAGTGATATAGTATCAGTGCAGCCTGAACTGAAAAATTCACCTTTACACATATCTTAGAAAGATATCAACCACCAAAGTGATCCTCATTTAAAAAATTCATCCTCCTAAAGACACTGGCCTCAGCAAAACAAAACGCTAACTAAATTCCACTCCTTTTAAATGAAAGTTCACCAGGAAATACTCAGGAAAAGCAGATATAACCAAACAGAAAATTAGTGGTGGGAAGTAATTTACATAGAAGAATCACATGATCACATCTTTACCTCATGGCTTAGGTTTGAGATGTTTTCACCTTAAAATAAATGCAAAAAAACTTAGATGAAAAAATAAACTGCAAGATTTAGACAAAAAAGAATAAGAGAGTTTCAAAACAGAGAGAAACTCTAAAAAGCTGAGAAAAATGGAACCCCGTCTGTATATTATTGCTCATGCATTGGCTGTTACTGACAGGATCACCAAGTAATTTGAGAAATGACTGATAAAATAGCTGACTTTTCGGGAAGGTTCATCATCAATTCAGAATTAACTTAAGAATATTGATTTAAGGAATAGGATGAGATTAAAATAAAAAAAATCTAAGCTTAAGCAAATGATAGTGGTCAAAGATTTCATTTTCTGTTTATATAGAAGTTCAGTAAGTTTCTAATTATCATAGTCTTAATAGCTTTAACTGGGAAAAAGTAAATCAGATCAGATAAAACTGATTACCATAGCTATTTATCTGCATGCTGTTGAGCTGGTTAGCAAGCTGCGCTGTAGGTGAAGTGGCTGCAGTATTTGGGTAGGCTGGTTGTGACTGATGACTGTAGGGAGGATAGGAAGGTCCTGTATTGCTTGGAGGTGGAGGGCCTTGAAACCTAAAGGGAAAAATTAGTGCAGTTATGCAAAAAATTACATCAAACAATCATATCTCTAGAAGGTCTCCTACCTTCTCAAGGGTGGTACTGAAATAATTAACTAGGATAGACAGACTCTTAAGAGAGTTTGCTCACATTCTGCTCAGAAAACGTATACTTGTATTAAAATGGTCATGAAGCACAGAGAGAATGCACACTTGTTTAAAACAAAAAAAGACAGTACATGTTTGTTTGCATACTTGTTAAAAACAATGAAGAGTGAGTACGCCATGGCAAAGAGAGAGCGGTAATAACCGTATGAAAGCTTGAAGATTAAGAAACACAAGCTTCTGAACATATCGCATCACTCCATCCCCCTTCCATGCTTATAAAGGAAGATTCCCTACTGGGGATGGCTGAAGAAGATTAGGAGAAAAGTCTGTGAAGAGAGGAAAATGAAGTGAGAAACTGTTAAGGAGTCCCCTGTAGTAGAAGAAAAAAGAACATGCAGGTAGGGAAAAACTGCTTCATGATTATCAGATATGGAAAAACATGAATGCAAGAAAAACAACTGAAGAAAAGAAAGAGGTGACACACATGTGGGTTATAAAGGTATTTTCTACCAGACTATTTCACTCCAGAAAAATAAGATCTCAGGCTATGTCCCAAAGACGACCTATGCTGATTTTCCTATGACCACTTCTAAAACTGAGGAGGGGCCTAGCTGTATCAAGAGAAGTAGAATTCACTTTCCTTGAAGTTTTGATGTAGAAATTTCCTGGCCTAGAAGAGCAGCTCTCCGCAATTTGGGAATAAAACAAGATCAGGTACAAAACAGTAGATGTGCAGCTGTCAGGGCAATGACTGGAAGCTAGGAAAGAGAATCAGTATTTTGCTGGGTTGGTCATGTCAAGTTGACTCTGTTCACCATCTTCAAGACAACCACCACTTCTCCCCATGCATTAGTACATTGTCTTTTACAATTGATCACCAGTCTCTTCGGGTCCTCCTTTACACAGTGATAACACACAGACAACAAACAGGCTTCCCTATTTTGATGCCTAATAAAACATATACATGGCTTTATCTGAACACAAATAACTATACAACAACTAAAAAGCACAGAAGCAGATTAAGACTTCAATCAACTAAAACAAGAATGTTGTTAAATGGTGTGAATTTCACTAACACTAAAATACCTCTAGGTACACAAACTAATTTTGCCACTCCTGGGAGATGAGCAAAATAATTGACATTTGACAGAATTAAATAAAAGAGCTAAGCATATCTACCCACTTATAACTATCTGCAATATAACCACTGTGTAATAAAGCTTGATTATGCCCTCATACAATCATTTTTCCAAGATTTCTTTTCACAGCTTCCACCTGTCCCTATTTTCTCCTTTCCCCACTCCTGTCTCCTTCACTTCTTCCTGTGAGCTCTGGAGGCAGGACAACAGCACTTCAGATAAACTCTTCATAGCCAATCTCAGATGTAAGCAAAAGAGTAGCAGTCATCCATCTGAGAGGGTATAACAAAACTGCACTATAAAATGTCTTTAAATTACCCTATGGAGCCTTGGCTGTGATTCCACAATGAAGCCAAGACATCCTAACAAGGCAGAGAGGGGGGCGGAACTACAGATATAGAGACATGCACCAGCTTCTAGTCAAAACTCGCTGGCAACTATTCACTTGTAAATAACAACTTCTTGGTACCTCACAACAAAGGAGAATTAAGACATCAGAAAGTGAACAAAAAAAATAATGCAACTTCTGTACCAAACAGCACTTACAACACCTTACTGCTGCTTTGAACAAGGGGTCTAAGATCAAGAAGAAAGAATAATTAAAAATAAAACAAAAAAGAACGCATGATAAAGACCAGAGTTGCTGTAAAATGGAACTTAATGAGACTGCAGACCACACTGTATGATCTGGCAGTTTAATATCACAGGGAACCGAACTAGAAGATCCAGTTCAGAATTAGAGTAAGTCAGAACTGCTGAAGATAAACAGGATGCCATACTTAAATGTCAGTGAAGCAGCTGAAGAGAGGTAACAGAGGTCAAATAGCTTAGATCTCATGCATTAATTCTTCAAAGTCACCTATGTGGCTGTTGCCCTGGTGTACTGGGCCCATTTTGGAAGTTGGTCTGGCTGAATTGATGTGTACCAGGTGGTGGAGGCCCAACAGGAGCTGAAGATCCAAAAGGCGCAGTTGACTTCGACACAGCTGCAAAAGAAGAAGTACTTTTATGTAAGAACCTTGTAAGAAAGCACAAGATCGCCAAGAAATACAAGTGTACAGCCCTGCTCTAGCAATAAGAATACCGGCTCTAGGTAGCCCTGCTTGAGCAGGGGGTTGGACCAGATGACCTCCAGAGGTCCCTTCCAACCTCAGTAATTCTGTGATTCCATAAGGACAGATCTTTGGTCAGCTATAGAAGCAGGTATGAAAAAGAACAGATAGTAAAAAGGAAGCAAATAGTAGTCAGTAACTTTCCAGCAAAAGAACCCAAGAAGGACAGTAAAAAAGAAGCAAGAATGAACAGACCCTGCAATTCAATTTGGGATACTGGTAATTCCCTGTCACCCAGTTATCTTTACAGGTAGAGGCAAAAGGACCCTTTGATTTCGGAGACCACCGTCAGAAAGAAAACTTGGAACAACCTTTTAAAAAAAAAAAAAAAAAAGCCTCCAAATGTGGAACCTGTAAACCTATGCTAAAAATGGTTCTTAATTCAGTCTAGAACTGTGAAGAGACTCTAATTTATGTAAACAGCAGAGCTGAATAAATAGCTCTTCAACCTGTATTTCTTGAATTATTTTCCTTTAAATTACTCTAACATCAAAAATTTGTTTGGTACCAAAACTGGTATTTTTCCCAAGTATTCTGATAATTCCCAAATATTCTAATCTAACTACTAAGAAGTAGTTCTATCTTCTGGCTATATTCAGCATTAGATTAAGGTAACACAACTCCTGCTGTCTTTAGTAAGTTTTAGAGAAACTGGGTAAAACTCCTTCTTTTTTCTGTTTTCATGATAACACAAAAATGAAGGACACCACAGAATATTTTAAAAACTTCAATATGCTTGGATACTTAGTTCTGTCATTACCCTAATCCACCATCTCAAATACTAACTTTAACGTAACTTACCATAATCTAAACGTTATTGAAAATTTTAACAAGTATTTTTTTTAAGATGCTTTAGAGAATACTTCAGACATCTTTACTATTTTAACTAATTTCCCCCTGTGATATCAGGCAAAATATTGAGATGGTCCCTCTTGCTGTCACCCTATCTCAGCTACGTATACTAGTAGACTTACAGAGGGAAGAAAAAACCTTACTCTTTGGATATTTTCTACAGCCCCAATTCACTAGTCTAGCATGCCCACTTTGACTCTACTGAAATTAGACCAGCCTGACTTTCATACAGCAAAATAGGCTTAAATTCCACGCTCTCAATTTTTTTTTTTAAGCTTCAATCACCATATACTCATATATTATACTTCTTGAAAGATCTGAAGCCACATATCACTAAGTTAAAATTAATGAAAAGCAAAGAGGAGACAAGGACAGTCATGTTCATCTGTTGGATGTCAATGACATGATCTGTAGCATGATTATGCTGGTAGAAATAAAGCAAATATTCCCTTTGCTTGTAATTTGCTTGTACCCAGGGTGCCCCTCCTCATAGAAAGTAATTGTCTCCTGAGTGGTCAGAAAGCAGATGGGCTCTACTTACCACTCATTATCCAAATACATGACCCAGTAAGCAAGCTTAAGCGGAAGAACACCAACTCATACTCATAGGCAAGTTTGTGTTCAAGAATTCAGTAGGACAGGGGTCCTAATGTGAATACAACCCATTTCTGAGAGCTCGCTTGCCATTAACACGTATGAGTTGAGAAACATTTCTCTATTCCCAGAAATCACCTCTTTTGTATTTGTCTGTATTAGGTATTACTCATAATACAGCATTAAGCACTCATGCACAACGGAATTCATACACAAAGGTCAGATACCCATCTTACGTTAACATCTGAGCATCAACAATAACACACACAAAGCTAGCGTAGGATCCGGTTGCAGTAGCAGTGTAAAATTGAGCATTTTTTGACACAAGTAAGAAAAAGAGATGCAAAATGCCTTCATAGAAAAGCAGACCCTGAAAACACATTTTATGGCAATTTCATACCTGGTTGAGGTGCTGAGTATGAGGAGTTAGGGTCCCCGTAATGCCCATAATGAAGTGAAGAATTAGGTGGTCCAAAACCTGCGGAAAAGCCTCCTATTCCTGGCTGGGATTGGGAATATGGAGGAGCTGCAACATAGCCTTGTTGGCTCATGATGGCAATATTTTCATTCCAAGTATCCTGTCCTCTTCAAGAATCTGTAAAAGAGAAAGTAACACCTGCTACTACTTTTACTCTTTGTGCATTTTAAAAGACGCACTGTGTTTCCAAAAACACAAAAGACACATCTGAGGGCAAAAAAAGACCTTGTTTTCCTTGCTATTACCAGGCAACTTTTCCCTAAGCTTTCACATCTTGATTCTGTTGTTGTTAAAGAAGAAAGGAAAAAGGAAAAAAAAACCAAACCAAACCAAAACACCAACAGAATTTGATTAAAAGCAACCCAGAAAAAGTTTTCTAATCATGAGAGCATTCACAAGACATCTAATTTCTTTCTTGCAGCCAGATTTTGTTAAGCAGGATAAAAGAAACTTTTAAGAAACTTTCAGGAAAGAGTATCCTGATAATTGCAATCATTTAAGATTAAAACTAGAAAATCTGAAGAATTCTGCATTACTAAACCAGATGATTGGATTTCATAAGACTAGTTTTCAGATACAGTGCCCTTGCCACCACGGGATTTGAAGTTATTGAAGTTGTACCCTTTGCAGCCTTGATAGCTAGCTTTCTCTTTAACATGTAAGAGAGAATTTTTTATTTTGACTTTATATTGAGTTTAACAAAAACAGAATTCCACTAAGTTTCTTGATGCCCAAATTAAAACTTGTTTTGAGAAATGCTGAGGATCCAAACCCCGAATAAGCACTTACTACTTCTGCAGAGTCCCAAGTATATAGGTCAGACATCCCCAAAGAACTAAAGATACATGATATAAGATAGCATTTTAGATATTAAATGTTCCTTTGCAACAGCTTTCCCAATCACCTACACTTCGCATTCTTAGGCTTGAGCCATGGATTGATCTCTGAGTATGCAAACTAGATGAAAGTACATCCGGAATTGTGCTCCAGAAGCATGCACAAAGGCACCTCAAAATTACCCGCAGCTCCAAGATCACAACAGACAAATTCATACTGCATTGGCACATGTCAGTAGAGAAAAGCTATCCCTATCAGAAACACCACCTCTAGGCTTCACATTTTAAACATACATTTCTGAAAAAAAAAAACCTGCAACAGTTTTATTAATGTTCCACGACAGACAAGAAATCACTTTGAGCTGGGTACAGTGCCTAGCCCTCCTCACACATTGCCCATGCGATCCTGCAAGCCACACTTCTCAATGTGCCCTAAGATTTCTCAGTTGCAGCATTAAACTGCTTCAGATAGGTAATCTTAGGGAGTTGTCTTCTATTTCTTAGTTAACAAGGTAAACACGGGAAGAAGAAAAAAAATGTTTAAACAGAGAGGCTTCTTGCTGCCAGCCATACTTTCTTCCCTCCCCCACCCCCATCAGAAAAGACGTGGCAGTGTGAGCTTTCGTTGCTCCAAAAGACAAGTCAGCACTAAATTATTTACACACTAGTATAGACATATATATATTTTTTTTATCTATATAAAGGAAGAGATTTTCACTTAGAGGCAGCTGCAACAGCCAACACCTTCAGCTGCGACAGCATCCAGGGGAAATGACTTCCTCCACAGCTTACTCACTCGCTCACACACACAAAAAAAATCTTGCCACGTCAAACTTCCCACAGACAGTATAAACACATAGAGGTTGTGCTGAAGAGAGACAGGAACTCTAACCATAAGCAAAATAACCTAAGTTTATCGAACAGTTCTAGATTCTATTTAACATTGAGCATCTCTTCTCAAGATATGTATATATACCAACACATGATGAAAATAGTTTGGAAGCAACACCCAAAATATGAATAGAAACTGATCACATAGGGTTTTAGCGACCAGGTTCTAACAAGAGACACACAGATTCACTCTGGAAATTGCACGAGAAAGATCAGAGGATCTGCTAAACCCAGATCTTTCCCTGGGTTTGTTTGCTACAAGTGTCACTACACAGAAGGACATGAAAACTTTTTTCTCCCTGTCTCTCTTAACACTAGTTTACCTTACACCCCATAGCCTGAGGAACAACACTAACACAAGCACTTCTCCATGATTTAATTTACCGCTATTACAGACTAGGTTGTAATCTTTTTTTTTTCCCAGAGAATTGCTGTACCTATGCAATGCTCTACTGCACTGACATCTCTGTGAAGATGTAAAACTCTGCTATGTGAATGTAGACATAGGATAACAGAATGAAAAATAGAGGATCACGTTCTCAGGTAACTGAAGGAGAACTATTAACTTTATATTTCTTCAGAGACGCTGTGCTTAGTAAACTATCATCTAGGAACCTATCATCCTAGAGCCCTCCCCAAGGCATGCTGCAATCTCAACTTGACAAATAATCTTTGGGGTGTGTGCATATATCTACACACATGCATATACGCAGAACAGACTATAGCTACACACATTACATTCTGTACTTTTTTTGTAATAACACATTTTAGAACAAGCTATGAAAGCGTAAGCTTAAATTTACTCCAATTCAGTGCAAAACCTGCAAACGGTTAACACGTCTATCCCCGTTAATTAAGAATTTTAAGTCACTGTAACATCGCAACAGGTCTCAATACTCCCGCTCGGCGCAGGACACGTCTGCCTGCCCGCGGCAGGAGTAAGGCACAGTACCTGTGCCTGCCCCCCGTGCCGGCGCTCGCGCGGGCTCCCCGGCTCCGCACAGGTAGGGTGCAGCCGCCCCAACTTCCC